ATTGAGATTGTGTGTTTTTGTGGTTACTTTCTGATACTTACAACTATAGTCTTGAGATTGTGTCTTTATATGGTTACTTTCTGATACTTACAACTATAGTCTTGAGATCATGTCTTTTTGTGGTTACTTTCTGATACTTACAAGTAAAGTCTCCAAATAATATCTTTATATGGTTACTTTCTGATACTTACAAGTATAGTCTCCCAATAATATCTTTATATGGTTACTTTTTGATACTTACAACTATAGTCTTGAGATCATGTCTTTTTGTGGTTACTTTCTGATACTTACAACTACGGATTTGACATCATGTCTTTTCTGGTTATTTTTCTACCACTTCCGAAACACGATCTTGAGATGTATTTTACTATTTCTAATTATCTAAAACCCACAATTTTCAGAACAAACGTAAATAGCCTTGCTCACTTGCCACTCATGTTACTTCATTAAATGTTAGTGATGAGAAAGAAAAAGTAATAAAGTTTTACGTTGTAAACTATTCAAAAGGTTTAACTTACATTTATATAACCTTTTTACTGTCTTCACGAGTTAACTTACACTTAAAGAAAACAGTTATAAAACATAAAACTTACTTTAGTGTCCGAGATCTCGAAAAATATTTCTAGTCCAACTGGCAAGGAATACTGCAGAAATCTAGCAGAAAATATGCATTACGGATTCGGAGTTACCTTCCACAGTCGAGTGATTTTGATTAATTAAGTACACTCTAACAGTCTCAGTAAAAGTAAAAAGTCTTTGCCATTTATCATATTTCAGGATAAGTATCGTTAGTAAGTACTAAACCAGAACGTCTGTATTACTTACATACAAACAGCAGGTGCTCCAGGTTCTCAAACGTTCATGATTTAAGTGTTTATATAACGTAAGATGATTTATAACCCCGTGTACATTGTAAAAGGTTAATGATTGTTAAAACTAATTTGCCACGAGTTTGAAACACATGAATAGGAATGAAATGAATTAATTACGTAGCATAGAACTCTCAGGATGATTGAGACTATCGTGTAAATAAAGATCTTCAGAAAGAATGAGATCAGTTTTATAGATGTAACATATAGTTTGAAGAACGTACCATGATTTGTGAAAGAATGAGATCAGTTTTATAGATGTAACATATAGTTTGAAGAACGTACCATGATTTGTGAAAGAATGAGATCAGTTTTATAGATGTAACATATAGTTTGAAGAACGTACCATGATTTGTGAAAGAAGG